CCTAGGGATCCAAGTATACGAATAAGACTTACAATGGGCCCTAAAGTATGTAAATCTTACCCACATTTGCCTATTTGCATCCCTAGGGTTCTTCGATGAGGGAGTTGGCCAAGGGCCCACTGAGGCGTATCGTTGGCCGCAACCATGTCACCCTCAGTTTGACACAATTTGGCGTGTTCAACGAAGAACGCATAGGTTCCTTGCGCAACATAGCTTTAAACAACATGTATGCAGATTAATGCGACAAGGATATGGAGCAGACATCAAACGGTAAAGGGTTTCCTTCAACTGAAACCTTACACATCCCTACCGGAACCTGTTGGCCATCCCGGAAACTTTCCTGACGATGTTTCTGCCATGCAGGTGCCAAATAATCCCAATCCCAACAACACCATTTGTCATAACCCTGGCCACGCAATCTGGGCAATTTAATTGCCTCACCCGACCTTACCCTAAATACCCCTAAATGGTGGTTCATCTGGGGAATAGTACCAAAATGGCCTTAAGCTGGGACATGATTTATTGTAAGTTACCCTGATGCAATTGGCAAAAAAGCCGTCATCCGTGTTGTCAGGAAATCATGGTGACGGCCATGGGCGGCATCCGGCACACCGCGACTGCATTCTTGTTTGCGTGCTGCGGCGCCATAATCTTTAGCGCGCTCGTCATGGAGGCACATGCATGGGGTCATGTAGAACAGAATTAACCCCCTAAACTAGCACTTGGAAAAGGACTTGCAACAAGTTTTGTGAATGATGGATGATGCCAACGATGCTGATGATGATGATGGTGATGCTGGTGCCACTGGATACCACAGGCAGAGGTGGGCGTCAGCGAGCCTTTGGGACCATCCATGCGTTGCTCCTCGGATTGACGCTGCAAGGTTTTTTCAGGCACGAACTAGTCGAAGGCTTCAGACAACGCCTTGAAAAATCACATTTGCCACACCACGACACTATGTGCAACAGGTCTCGATAGTATTGACCTCCTGGACAGTGGCCATCTAACTAAACTGTTGTAGGCCAAGCTCAGAAAACTTATGTGCATTCGTGGCCTCATGGTGATGCAACCAAGTCGTGGTTGCCCTTTGGACCGGAAACCACCCATGAGCCCAAACCAAGGTGGGCCGGTGGGCCCGTACGACGCATCCCCTGAAGAGGATTTTTATGAATGCTGCAAGGGGGGGCAGTGTCCACGCATGCTGTTGCGACACCTTGTGTACAATCTCCACATGAGCCGTTGCCCAAGCGCCCTTCGACGGGGGTTTCAGACGTACAGACATCCCTCAGACGAAAGCTGAACGTAAGCCTAGACCCTCCACATACCCTCTCTATACCCGAAGTCGGGACTACATATCTATGTACCCTAAATAGGGACCATATACCCTAAATACGGACTGACCGCGTACCTTCATTTAAAGGGTACAAGCAGGGTCCTGGACGGCCAAGGCACGCTGGCCCTGGTTGTGGCATACTTGGTGGAGAGCTGCGTCCGGGAGATTGTCGCTGCGCCCCGTAAAGCCCGCAAGATGGAGGTTTGGGGATGGAGGGTTTGCAGGGTACAGGGTTTGGGGTTTAGGGTTTGGTTTAGGGTTTAGGGTTTATAGGGTTTAGGGTCTAGGGTTTAGGGTTTAGGGTTTAGGGATGAGAGAGGGTTTTCCCGGGGGGGAGGGGTTCAAGGCGCAAGGCATGCAGGATTTAGAAAGGTGTATCCTAAACCCTAAATTCCCATTAAGTTACGGGAAGGGAGAGGAGTGTTGGCAGGATGCTACAGGTTGCAACTAGGCGCCCTTCAACTTTTGTGTTCAGCCAACTGTTTCCTGTCTGCTTCCCAGCGCAATCCATTTCAAGCGACCTGTTTGGCATGAACTTTATTGGGGCTTCTTGTTGGCCATTGTCAACCTTAAGGATCCAAGTATACAAATAATACCTACCAGGACCCTCCTAGTACTGTCAATTGGGGTGATATGGCCCCTAAGAGTGGGTACTTAGGCCTGAAGAGAGGGTAGCTGGAGGGTCTCGGTAGATTGGGGCTCAAAGTTACACATTGGGCTATTTGGGTCCCTAGGCCAGGTTGTGTGCTTTTGTGATGGCGCAGGACCCCCCTTACGGCGCCATCTCGCCAATGTCATCTGCAGACTTGGCCGCTTGATGCTTGTGGCTTTGGGATCTAGTTCGCGAAGGGATTATGTGAGTTTTCAGGCCACATCCGATCCATGCACAGCTTCAGCATTGCCAAACATTGAGGCAAACCAAGTCAACAGAGCGAATCTCAGTTCCACCCGCTGAGGAAGAAGACCCGCTTGTGCTTCCAACGCGGATATCCTTGCAGTTGCCCGACCAAGGGTCTAGGGCCTATAGGGTTTGGGGTTCAGGGTTGGGGTGTAGGGGCTATTTCGTGCTTCGGGTGCCTAACCATGTTGGTGCAGTTGCATGGTGATACATGTGCAGATGACAATGGAGGCTTTGTAGGATTTGTTTGGGCATGTCTCACCCTCTACAATCTCAAATATTCCCATGGTAGAATTGTCAACTTTTATGACCTGTTGATATAGGGGGGGTGGTTGTGTTGGGGTCGGGTGATTTCACAGGCGTCCGGGATTATGGTCGTACTGTGGGCACTTCCGGAAACAAAAAGAGCACCATATGCTCAAAGATACTTGTGCCTCTTCATCAACTGGGTTTCCTACACCCTAAACCTATATGGGGCTCCCAACCACTTTTTAATTTTTGTGGCATAACAATGCTAATAACAACCCCCAAAATGTTTTTCTGTGCCCCCCTATATGAACCCGTTACTACATTGTGGAAGCTAGGGGTTTATGAGGGGGTTCCATTTTTGGACTCTTTAGGGGGTCTGGGTATGGCAGGTTTCCGAATTTCAGAAAGCCTGCACCCATTGCCATTACTGTTGCAGTGTTCTTGAGGTTGTCATTGTGATGAAAACATGTTATATCATGTTATATCTTTGTTAAGTACCAGTATTGTACATGAAACCCATGAACCTTCGCACAACAGGACACCAGACCGGCTTGTAGCATTCCATCCGAATTGCGATATCTTCCGTGGCAATTTTCGTAGCCCCAACCGCGAATTTAGGATCCTCATAGTCTCAGATTACGACGTGAGGTCTTACTTTTGCCCAACTCGTCTTACATAAATCGGAAACATCAAGGACCTTTCCTATCTGACCCTGCTCGTTCATATCTGCTATTGATTGGACTCCGTTTAGTTTTGGCCCGTCCTTCTTCATTCTCGAGCCTTAAAATCCAGTAACGGGACTTGCCATAGCTAACAGGCTTTGTTTCCTTCAATCGACTTGAAGGGAAAACCCTATCTGGTTTTTGAAGCCGCTAAGCTCCGCAGTAAGTCAGACCCCTTTGCAAGGCCTGATGACCAAGGCTCCATGTAGCTTTATGGTATATATTTAGGGCCCAAAGTGGCTTCCATATAACTTTAGACTTCAGTGCCCAAGTATATATCATGTAGCTTCATGGAGCGTTTGGGCATGACATTCAATTTCCACCGACATCCCAAAGCTCTCAAGCTTCTTGGCTCCTGCCCTGCTGTATTCTGCCAGGGGCCCCTATATGAGCTATAGTCGAAGCTCTTTAAAGGGGGTTATATAGGGGATTATAGAGCGTTCGTTTTATAGGGGTTAGTAAGGGGGATGCTAGGAGTTTATATCATAGCCTTTATGAAGAGGAGCAGGGGAAGTGAGTGAATGATTACCAGCTTGTTCACCCCCAACATCGCTTCGATGTACACCCTAGGCCCTAATCCGTGAGCTCTACGTTTAAAGAGCTCCGAGATTTCTCTCGGGTGAGCCACTCCTTCACACCCAAATCCACCCTTAGCCCGAAACCCTTTAATCCCAAAAGCTGAATTGCACAGGTTTCCTCCCATGCTGTGCGTGCTTTTGGTTGCTATCGCTCTCCGCGCAGTTCAGCTGCAGCTCCAGACCAGGACCTTCAAAGAGAGGTTGCAGGGGATTCTACAGTGTTTATGATAGGTAGCATGGATACCACTGTAATGGAGACTTGGAGAATCGAATGAAAATTGGAGAATGAAATCACCATTTTGGGATAGTGATGCGTTTATAGGGAGTGCATTTCCCGATGAGGGGGGGATTGGGGTTACCTCAATCCTCAACGACGATCTCATGACAATTGAGGCGTCTGCATCATAGGAGTTGCAGTTACCAAAGCCCTCTTATAGGTTAGAAGAGTAGAGAGGACATCCGGATTCATAGGAAGGCTTCGGAGAGCAGATGATGTGCTGCTAGCGCCATAAGGTCAAGAACTTTGGGACACTCACAGGGTTCAGAGCAGTTTAGAGGTTAGGGTTTAGGGTAGGCTCTTGGACCTTCAAGAAAAATTCTGCCTCCCCTCCCAAAACTTAGCTACCGTGCCTAGCGGACATCTTGAACCATTGTTCCACCCTGTACTTCAAGACTTGTCATATGAGCTATAGTCTAAATTCCTTAAATGGGCTTATATAGGGGATCATATAGGGAAGTCTTAGTTTTAGGGGAAATACTAGCATTTTAGACAATGGCTCAGAATGTTGAAGTTTCATGCATCCGCCGTGGGTCCTCAAATCCTGCCTGCAACTGGCAGCGCGACCCTTGAGCATTGGGTCGTCTCGTGAAGGGTTTGAATATTAGAATATGGTGGATACTAAACATCCTGCATGACCCTAAGCAATTAGAGCAGAAAAGGTAATGCTGGATTTTTCGTGCACAAATGTAGTATGCAAGTTGGGCCGAAAGTCCCCAAGCACCCGTCTGGGCCCAAATCATTCGCTATTTCGGTACTTGGGCGCTCAGGATCATTTAGGCCCAAGTCATTTGCCCGACTTTAACCCTAATTACATCCTTAAACCCTAAACCCTATACGGTCTTGCTTGCTTGCAGGACCTGGGCAGCTTGTGCTATGTATGTGCAAGGGCCTCAGCCATCACTGAGTTTGCAGACAGCCGGTAAGACAGGAAATCATATGAGTAGTATTTTATTTGGGGAGACTATGGTACCCATTATAGAGTAAGATTATATCTTCCTTTTGGGGTATAGTATTTTATATAAGGAATATTATCTTACTAGGTTCAACCACCAAAAAAGGAAACTCATATTATGGTTTAGGGTTTTGGATATTATCGGTATATCGGGTCCAATAATGGGAATGGCCAACATCATGGACACTGAGTGGAAACCGGTATTAGATAGGGCTTATCGGGTAGATGCTAAATTCCTGCATTGGCCCTACATACCTACACCCTAGGAATTGTGGTGGTATGGTAAATCCAGGGTCATGCAAGATTGCAGCCGTCAACGGTATCTCAGTTCTCCGATGGAGACTCCGAAATGAGGGCTTCCAAAAAATCTGATCCCAATATTCTACCAAAATGGGTCCCCTAAACCCTAAACCCAAAATTCTACCAAAATGGGCCCCCTAAACCCTAGACCCTATAAACCCTAAAGCCCTCAGCTTAAGGAACCCCGAACGGCACAGGATCCTGATCACGAAGTAGCCTACACCCTACGCACCCAAAAGCCCTAAATTGCATCAAGCGCTATAATTACTCTTCCCCCCTATCCCCTAAAGTCTTCGGCGTCGAAGTATGAAGCTGAACCTTTATAGTCTGAATTGAGGAGAAATAATATGGCTTCGGGTATATTATTCTTAGATACCCACATACCCCATGTTCTATCTACTTAAGGGTCACTATACCCTATACCCTAAACCCTTAACCCCATATTCTACCTACAGACTTTGCCAAGGACCACAGCTGCAACCATTCTCCAGGCTGCCCGTTCCGTTTACGCAACCATTCACAATCAGGCCAGGCGGCGTGTGCTCGTAGTGGTTTAGGGTTCAGAAATATAATGCTGTAGCCCTCAACCCCCCTAAAACAGCCAAAAAGGCTATAGCTCTACATACTTTAGGGGTCCAGGTAGTTCCTGTTCCAAGGTGACGCTTCTCTTCGCATTCTCTTTTTGCTTGATCCTTTCTTCCTTATCTTAGACCTTCTGCCTTGTTGTTGCTTGAGCACATTTGATTCTACTGAAACCTTATAAAAGTAATCACTGAGATAAGTTGAGATTTGTTGAAGCAGGGGCTCATATAAGAAAACTCTGTTTGCGGGATGCCATACACCCTCTTCGCAACCCCTTTCTTGTATATGAAGTCTCTGTCTCACTTGTGGTTCATCCCTAAACCCCTAAACCCTAAACCCTAAGCACTCTCAGGATATTCCAAGAAGTTCCTTGCTTGGTGATGAAGCAGCTGGGCCGGCTGCTTGCCATGCAAGCCAGCCTTTCCGGAGGATCCCAGAATTGCTCACAGTTCCTTGAGGTTCCAGAACCCCAAAATTGCGGTTGTTGGTCATCAATTCTAGATTTTTGGCACGTTGGATTCGACCCTTAAACCCTGAATCCTTCTAAACCCATTAAGGGCTACATTGCCGGCAGGGAATTTACTTCAGATGCACGAAGAGCTTTGTAGCTGGGAAGGCGCGCTTGACAGTCGTAGCGTCCGGTGGACACTAAAACGGCAAAACCCGAAGTACCTTCTACCCTGGGAATTATAGTATTATAGTATGATAAGGTACCAACAGTCCCTGTAATAGGGTTTGGGCTTAGGGCTTGGGGTATACTAGACAGGTGCAAACATGTGTGATTAGGGAACTTGCCAGCTGGGAATGGCGTGCAGGATGCTGGTAGATGCTCCCCAGCAAGGTCATCATAATACTAGTTTCCATTATACTAGTTTCCATTGATCCCCTTTGTTGTAACAAAATGTAAATGGCTTCGGCAATCCTCGGCATGGCTCCTTCCCAAAACTACAGGACTTGTTAAGGCATCCTTCTGTAATGTAGCGCTTTACAGAAAGAATGGCGTCGTGCTTTGGTAGCTGTCCATATTCGAATGCCAGTGCAATCAACCTTCTGTGAAAGAACGTCTGCTACAAACAAAGTAAGCACGAGAAAAGCCACAAGCTGTGAGTAGGGAACCGATGGCAATTGAACATATGGAGTTTGAGTTCTATACTGTTGAATACAATTGCTAGCATAAGTTAGAGTTCAAAGGGAATATGGGCCATGTTCCCTTCTAGCCCCTAACCTTTCCTTGACACCTACACTCCACAATTTTTCCGCGCAAAATCCCCACCCCTAAGCCCTGAATCCCATCCCAATCTCCTAGCAACTGAAATTTAGAGACCCTTAATCCCCCCTCCCCTAGGAACTGAATTTTAGATATCCCTAATCACCCCCTCAAAAGGTCCAGCCACAAACCCTGCAAACCTTAAACCCTACCACGAAAGCCTGAGGCGGTCTCCCCGAATGTGGCCCTGGACCGGCAGACGCTTGGAGCGTTCTGGGCTGGAACCACATGCTGCATCTACGCAGCTCGGGTAATGAATACGAGTGGGCGTTTTGGGAAGTGAGAGGTTGTTTTAGTATTGTGTGTGTTTTCTCTTCTTGTTCATTAGCATTCTCGGCTTTAGCATTATTTGTATTAGTGGTAGACGTCGGTTTTTTTTGCTAATTTTTTGATGTTCATAATTTTGCTGGCTTTGTCCGGTGTATTATATGATGTTCATTTAGCATTTTTGGTTTTTGTGTTGGAGGCTGCGAGCGCAAAGTTGGACAGAATTTCTTAGGGCTATTTGCTGCCTTCGCGCAGATTGAATCTAAACCCTAAATGCTCAATGACGTCATTGCAGAACACCGTTGCGGGCAATTGGGGATTGCCCTAGATTGATTATAATGATTATAATACAGGTCCCTATCTACATTTCCCCAAAAGGTCCATGCAGCTCTATACTGTATACCTGCGCCGTAAAGTATTTATATATACCATATATCTACATGAACCAGTTGGGTTTTCCACTTCGAGAGCAGTAATTTTGGCCCAGTCCCGCAGTTTCTCGCCGGGCCTTAAGAACCACGTAGTCTCAACGCCCTCCTCCCTTCGACCTCTCCGAAACCTTTACAAAGCCTTACTTAATCCCTAAGCCAGAACATTAAAAACCTCCCACCCCCTTCAATATCACATATTCCCATTGTTGTATATTGTTATTCATTGGCCCTAGACGCTAAACCCGAAACCCTAAACCCTAAACCATAAAGGCTTTGCTTAGGGAGACTCGGCTTCAGGTGGGCACGGTTCTGGTGTTGCTCAGCGTCGCAGCAATGGAGTCCCTCACTCAACGTGGTGAGTTGCCAACTAATGTAGACCCATGATTAATAAACCCCCTCCTTTTAAGGGCCTAAATAGTAGGATCCCTATTATAATCCCCATTAAGGGGAGGGGGGTTATTAATCAGGGGTTTACATTACAGGGGTTAGGTTTAGGCCAAAGTGCCTGAATGACTTGAAAGGAGGTGGAGTGTCCCCTGAATACCCTAGACCTGTGACCCTCATTACCTAAAGTGCAAGTAGCACTCGTAGTAATTTCCTCCCAAGTCAGCAGGTATAGACCATGGGTCTGCAGGTATTTGAGGGTGCTGGCAGGGATTTGGGTTGAGGGTCTAGGGTTTAAGGTTTAGGGTTTGAAACGTAGACCCTCAATCCTAAACCCACGAACCCAGGGGGAATGTAGTGGTTACATGGGTTATGAAGGCTTATGCAAGGATACTGGAAAAGAAAATGGAAACTACTATGTAGGATTTAGGGATCAGGGTTGCGTTTTAATACCCTTGGGGGTTATATAGGGGATCATATAGGTAACCATCATAGGGGTGATTAAGGGGGATGCTACGAGTTTAAACCCTAAACCCCTAAACTCTGCCAGTATGGGATGAAGCCTCTTTGGTTACCACATGCCTTGTAGCGAGCTCATCGTACTTTGGCCTACTGTGATGAAATTCACCAATGAGCAGTTGTGGGCTCGACTCATTTTTAGGTTGAAAACCTGGAGAGAAGAGAATCTGGATGGCTCAGAGATGTAAATTGGGCCAGAATTCCTTGAACAGAGGTCGGTTGAGACTTTCTCGCTGTACTGTATTTGGGTAGTAGTTGGGGTTTAGTGCTCATATGGCTTAGAGCTTAGGGTTTAGGAGAAGTGGGGGAATGTAGACTTCAGACCATTCAGTTGCCCACTATCTCGACTCTGTTTCAGGCTAACCCTCCGTTTTGAATCCAGAGCTTGGCACCTCAAGCTTTCATCAGCGGTAAGGTTCAGGATGTCGAGTTTGGGGTTTACGGTCCAGGGATTCAAGTGGTAGCGTTTAGGTGAAGATACGAAAGCAAGAGAGACAAGTTTTGTGAAAGATGCGGTGCGGACATACTGAGCGCTAAAAATGTTGGTTTTCCCTTTGTAGGTAGGTGCCTGACAAAGAGAAATCGTTTGTGCCCTCTTCCTTTGTCATTCCCCGTTACAGTGTTTGTCCTGAAAGGGGTCGTATTTAGGGGCAATCATAATTCCTGTTCCTTTTTGGGGTAACTGTTACTGTGAGGGGAAAAGACCGAGGTCATGCCGTTTGGTGCTTGAATCAAAGCCGAAACCCCAAATCCTACACGCTGAAACTTGAAACCCTAAACCCTAAATCCTACACCCGGAAACTATACACCCTAAACCCCAAATCATAACCCCAAAAGCTTAAACCCTAAACCCTATTTGAGCCCTAAATCCGAAGCCCCAGAACCTTAGACCTCAACCTCAAACTCTAAATAAACCCTTACCACTGAAGGATGCCTAAGAGCCCCAACCTGCACTCAAAAACCTAAGAGGGAACACATGGAGATACTAGGGTTTAGGGTGCAAAGGTTTAGAGGTTATAGGGTTTAAGGGTTTGGGGTTTGGGTTGAGGGTTGATAGTTTAGGGGTTATAAGGATATGGATATTATGGGGATATGGGGATATAGGGCCCATTAGTGAAACCCAAACGGAAACAAATATGGATCATAATGGAATCTACGGCTTTATACTGCTTAAAGATTTTTCAAAAGCGCGAGAAACAGGCGCAACAACTTAGGTCATTTGCGGTTACTCTGACAGTTCCTAGTTGGTCATGAAGGCTGTTAAAATAGCCCCTCAGGATAGCGCAACTCCTTGGACCGTTACTGTTAGGGGGAATGACCCAGCAATACCGCACCTTGAAAGTTCATTGCACTTTTTTTTACTACATATAACTTCATATAACTGCTCTTATAACCCTACGCTTATAATCGGGGTAAGTTAGATACGTCCACTTAAGGGGATTATATGTTGGGCTATAAGGTCCCATAAACCGTTCAAGTAAAATCCAAAGCCCTAAATCCTAGCCGCCCAACAATCCTCGTCTCTGAAATCCTGAATTGGGACGCAACGACTGCAGGTCCAAAAGCATGTCAAAAGATGTCGCAAGCCCCCCTCTATCAACGGCTATGATGTGTGTGATGACCTTGATGCTTGCCTGAATTGCAGGGCGGTTTGATTTAGGGGGTTGGAAGGGCAAGGCTTGGTGTTTAAAGTTTAGGGGCATGGCACAGGTTGCTGTTGATTTTTCTTGCAAAACTGCGCAAGGGTTTATTGACAAGGCTGACAAAGTGTTACCGCATGCCGCTCGTACAAGAATTACAGTATCTTTCGACTCCTATGGTTGGTAAGCGTTTGTTTAGGAGAATTTTGGTCGTGAGAGTTTGAAGCCTCCCTCTGAAGGGCTACATGCAAGGTGTTCGCTTGCCGTGTCTAGGGCAGGAGCGCTGAGGGTCCCTCTTGTTACTTCTGGTTTGCAAGGAACAACAGGATGGTAATTCACATTTTCTTGTGTGTTCTGTTTTTGATAACCAGAGTTAAGTTACATAATCCCCATGTGCAATTCCCATGTTCTATGTCCATTCTCCGTTTTCTTTCTATGTGATTCTCGAGTATAGGGGTACTATCCCTACACCCTAAACGATCAACCCATGTCCCAAAATGGCCCTTTAGAGGAACCCATATCCTCCAGATAATCCTACTTCTGTCTCTGCATGGCATGCCTCATGCAGCCTATGCCTGGCTTAATACAAGCTGACCACAACATGAAAGTGATTGGGGCTTTGGGTTTAGGGGTTCGGATTAAGGGGAAACACCAGGCTTAGGTTGGCATGGGGATGTTTGGGGAGGTCTCCATGTTGAGGATTACTGTGCTTTGGGGTCTATATTGGGGTCCCCTACTCAAGGAAATGGCTACATATTGCGAAACGCTAGTGTTCTCAATAAGCGTTTAAAACCGTAAAACAACTATAGGTTAGGAGGGCCCCCCACCCTGTAATAGTGGCTATAAGGTATAAAAGGGATTATATTAGGGTCCTCTTATATTCCTACTATACCACTATTACCGGGTGGGGGGTCCTCCTAAATTATAGGGTTGTACCGGATGATGAGTTGGGTTTTGCCTACACAGGCAACCGGGAGCCAGGTTGCAGCTTCGTTCTCTAGAATGAGTGTACGGTTCAAGCGGCGTCATGAGACGAGCAATGAACGAGAACAGTCTTTCCAGACACTCCAAAGTCTTGCTAAGAAGATGCATTTTTCCTCAGGAAGGGGGATTGTTGAGAATCTTGTCGATACATATATGTTCATATTTATATGCATAAACCTGTAGGAATGATACAAGGGGCCGCAGTAAATCGAAAGCCGAAGCAAAGGACCGTGGTCTACTACGTCGCGTACCTGGTCTTGATGACTGGCAGCCACTCAGCCTAAACCCTAAACCCTAAACCCTAAATAGTAGTTTCCATTTTCTTTTCCATTATCCCAATATGATCCCTATATACCCCTATATAATCCCTAATATTCTATCTACTTAAGGGGGACTTTTTATCCAAGCAAAGGTCCAGCAAAGCAAGCGTTTGATGATCGCTTTCTTCTCATTACGGAGGGCTGGTAGTTTCCCAAAAGTAGGGGCACCTTTTTAGGGTTCCCCATAATAAGGACTTTAGTATTTTGGGGTCTACTATTTTGGGAAACTACCGGCTAGTGTTGGGGGTACTTTGTTACACGAATGCGTGGGCTTCTTTGGCACTTTGTTTTTTTTCTCAATCTTGTATGGTCTTTGGCCTCACAGCCCTCAGGTCCTCACAAAGAGCTGTTGCGAAACGAGTTACAAGATGTTTCGCTCATCTGTAGGCCATAAGTAAGCACAGGCTGATTTCCTTGCATTGGGATGCCCCCAAGGCCTGAGCCACATTGCCTAGATGGGCTGGAAATAAGGGTTTAGTGTTTAGGGTGATTATACAGTGATATACGAGCTCATAATCAAAATTACTAACTATGTAGCTAATTCCAGCCCATCTAGATCGGGGAGGTTTGGGGACCAGTTTCCGCAAAAACTCTTCCTGTTACATTGTTGAGTGCATGTGTACTAAGGCCCCTGACCACCCTGATGACAAGCATCTATAGTATAATGAATCGTCATTACTAGGGGTTGGAGGGTGG